GCATAAGTGTTTGCAGTTTTGGTGCCCTAAACTATAATAATAAATTAATAACCTTCATAAGTATGGTAAAGCTCACAAATCCTCCAGAAATAAAAGTAGCTTTCTTCCAAGAGTGTTACTGCTTCTATAATATTTTATCCATATTTCCTTGGTGCTGATTCCGCCCTCCAAAGTAATCACTATTGTTTAATTTATCTTTTTAAAAAATAGTTAAGGGTTAACAAGTTTAAGCTAGTTAACAAGAATCTGAATGGTAACAATAAATACTGTTTGCTATCCTGGATACAGTTTTCCAGTATTTGTGTGCTACAACTGTGTCTGAGGGCCCAATTTTGGTCTCATGAACAAAGCCTGAATAAAAGGACTTTGCCTTCAGGAGCTACATAGACACCACGCCATAGACCTGGCCATAGACACCTGGCTATGGACACCATATGGTGCCGACTCCATGGGTGCTTTTCCACAGGGGAAAAAAAGGGCTTTTTCCACAGTCCCCCTATCAGCTCTCCCCCTCCCCCCAGTGCCTCGCACCTGCCGGCGGGCCCTGCCTATCAGCACCCCCACCTCCCTCCCTGCGCCTCCCGCCCGCCACAATCAGCTGTTTTGCGGCATGCTCAGGGGAGGGGATGAAGCGGGGGTCGGAAGAGGTGGGGTGGGGGTCGAGGGGGGGCAGGAAGAGGAGGAGTGTGGGTGGAGCAGGGGCGGGAAGAGGCAGGGTGGAGGTGGGGCTTTGGGTCGAGCACCCCCGGCACTTTGGAAGGTCGGCGCCTGTGGACACCATGACTGGGTATGAGAAGGATAGGAACTACTATACTGGGTCAGACCAAAGGTCCATCTAGCCCAGTATCCTGTCTTCTGACAGTGGCCAATACCAGGTGCTTCAGAGGGAATGAACAGAACAGGTAATCATCAAGTGATCCATTCCCTGTCATGAATCAGTCCTGGGACATTGCTCTCTGGATGGCACTGGGGCTTGTGGAGCCATGCTGTGCACACATCTGTTGGCTGGGACCCCAGCCCTTCGATATGCCCCTCTGCAGTGAATGGCCGAGAACGATTGTGGAGCTTTGCACTATGATATACAAAATGATGCTGGGTCCCCTGTGCGGCCTCTCTGCAGCAGAAATGGGGCATTTTCCATGTAGTTTTGGCCTTCCCCATTCATGTGTAATAGGAGGAACAGTATTTGCCTCTAAGCTCTTAGGGCTGGTCTATACTTAGCCGCTAGTTCGGCGGCTGGAAATCGAACTTCCTGGTTCGATTTATCGCGTCTGGTCTGGACGCGATAAATCGAACCAGGAAGTGCTCGCCGTCGACTGCGGTACTCCAGCTCAACGAGAGGAGTACCGCGGAGTCGACGGGGAGCCTGCCTGCCGCGTGTGGACCGCGTCTTAACCGCGGTAAGTTCGAAGTAAGGTATGTCGAATTCAGCTACGTTATTCACGTAGCTGAATTTGCGTACCTTACTTCGACTTGGGGGGTAAGTGTAGACCAAACCTAAGATGATCAAATCCCATGATAAGGGAACAGAAACTAAAATCAAGCCAGAAATGAAGTGCTTAAAAACCATTCAGGATGAAAAGCATTATATTAATTACCATTATTGACAACTACAATATTTGAGACAATTGGGCTGATTTTTCTTCTACTGATGAATTTGTGGGGGGAATATCTGAAGCTGGTTCTTTCACCTGTTTTTAACTGAACTTTACAACAATGGTTCAGGTGTCTTGTGGGTAAATCAATAGCTGTTTTACTTTGAAAAGTTCAGTCTTGCATGTACATGATCCACAGGGAGAAATTTTTGCTTTTGTTGAACAAAATTTAAAAACATCTGATAAATGAATAAATACAACGTAATGTATTCTGCAATCCTTACTGAGCTCTTTAGTCCTTACTCATGCAAGCTGTCCCCTTGCAGCGAGATCGTGGTCCCACTGAGTGCATAGCAAAACTCACATTAACTAAAATTAGAGAACAGGACTTGGCTATCGATGCAGATAGCCAGATATTTGCATACACAACATATCTGTGTATATATCGGTATATAAAACCAAATGTATGTTATGCCTGTATCCAAATATATTGTGTGTACATATAGCTGGATATCCACCCACTGAAATAAATGCACATGTATTTATCTCAGTGATTAGACTTACAATACATTGAAAATATGCATTCCTTTGCATGTGTGATCTCATGGACATGCAGGAGTATTAAAAGCCACTGCATACATTGTGTTTATTTGAGTCTTACATTGTGCATTCAGATTGTATGCTCGATTGCAGTTATCTTTAAAAAAAATAAAAAGGAATTAAAAGGAAAAATACATTGTTGCAATATAAGACTTCAGCTTTTACATTACCTCAGTGTCAGGAAATTCAAAGTGTTTCCCCCAGTAACCATACCTCAGGCACATGACACAAAAACTCCAATGAAGGCCATTTAATGCACTTAAAAATCTCTCTCTGAGGCATTAAAATTAACACCGCGTCATGTAATACAAAATACTATGTGTGCCCAAGCGGGCCAAGTTACAGTTTTTGGAGGAGTCTAATTTTGTATTTGAATTTTGTATTTCTTGACTTTGGTGCATGGGAAATCTCCCAGTGACTACACTATCTCAGTGAAATCACAGGCGCAGATACAGCACAGCTGTCTGAAACTGAACAAGACAGATGTAATGCTGGGTGATTGAGGAAGGCATTTCATATAACTGGCACCATATCTTTGCTCCCCATTTAAGGGAGTCTGCCCAGAGATTGTGACTAGTACTGGGGTCCTTCTGCACTTCTGGCTGATACTGGGAGATGAAGTAGCAATGTGCACCAGAAATGCTTTCTCCTATTTGAGGCCTGCCAGAAGAACACACATAGTACTAACAGTCGTGCTTTCATAACCTTCAGGCTTTTTTAGTGCAATACCCTATACGTGGGAACTAATGCACAAATCCTGAAGCTATCCCATCAGGTCCAGAATACGTCAGCCTGCCTGCTAAACAATACTCTTCTGTGGAAATACATTATTTTCTGTTCTGGTCATTATATTGGCTCCCCAGTGAATGTCAAATTCAGACCAAGGCCACAGTGCTGATCTTTAAAGCTCTCCATTGACTGGATCTAAGCTGCCTGATATCCAATATCAGGACCCTCCATGTCTGTTGTCCTGTTAACAGTGGAGCTGCCCCATCTAGATTTAGACTCATGAGAGCTGGAGACAGAACTTTCTTGGCAGCCAGCTCACAGACTGGAAGTCCTTTCCTCAGGAGAGCAGAATGAACTCAAATCTTTACCGCCTTCAGGGCAAAGGGCAGGATCCATCTCTTTGCCTTCAGCTTCTCCACAACAAAACAACGATAATAAATTAATAACACAAAATCAGTAATAATGATCACAATAGAAAGACTGGGTAACGTGATGGTTCCCAGACGTCTCTACAATCGTGTGGGCGAAGAGAAAGACTCTCCTGTTTTACTGTAAAATTCTCAAATACCATGCTGATGAGAATGGTATAAATCCCTAGATGACAGATAGATTTGATAGAATCTCACCCATAGTGTTGCAGTAGGGTGTTTTTTGCATTTAATAACCTCCAGGTTGAGTAGGTATTTCCCACTGGTATTATTTCCAGTATTCATTGGAGAACAGCCAATGACAAAATAGTTAAACACTTACTAAATGTTTTGTGAATTCTGTTGAAGTTGACAGATGCACACTGAAATATGAGATGATCAACAGCAGAAAAAGAGACTGATTCATGACAAAGGGATATGAAGTTTATAGTTCATAGTTTAAGTGTGTGGTTTTGGCTGGCATATTTGATTACAGTCCTAGCAATGGTGGCAAAACCACATTATTTTTACCCAGGCAGTATTACTTATCAAAGTTTTGCAGGCAAAACAGTCAGGGAAATTGTCTTTGCAGATAAAATCTCCTGGGTCTTTTGCTCCAAACAAATCTCCTCACCCAGGAGGAGGCGACTCCAGGTCCCCTTCCTCGCAAATGAAATCTCGGCTCTGCCTGGGAGGACGGTTTCCCTTTGGCTCTCAGTTCACTTCCCAGCGCTTGGAGACGGAGGGGAAATTCTTCCTAAAGAAGCCAAAAGCTCTGCCCCTAAAATGACGTCAGGGTGCCTATGCTGCGGCTGTTGCCCAATGAGAGGATGCACCAGCAGAGAGCAGACACATTCGGCTTCGTTTGCTTGCAGCGGGGAGTTGAGGGTTAATGTTGTCAGCCAGCGAGGATCAAAGCGATTACAAGGGAAAAGGAGTCCAAAAACCGAAGCTTGCATTTGTCAACAACAATTTATCGCAGATTGGAGAGCCCTAAAGGGATCCCAGTGGGATTTTTGTTGTTACAGAGAAGAAAGAAAGAAAGAAAGAAAGAAAGTAAAGGAAACAACAACAAACAGCCGCAGTGGAAATTCCTCAGAAAGAAATATTTACGTTAGGCGTTGACATCTTTTTTCTGTGCCCGCGCCGTATACTGCACAAATACACAGTTGACTATAGACTTGCAGGCTAGGAAATAACAGTAACGACTTGGGATCATCCACATCAGAGTGAAAATAAACAATACAACAACAACAGTACTACAGAGCGGGTGGGGGCTAGAGGTTTGCAGTGTTTATTGGGGAGCAGGATATGAGTGATAAAGAACTGAAATAAAACGGGGGTGCTGATTAAAACTTCAGAGGAAGATGATCAGGGATGTCCCCCCCCCCCCCCACTGGCTCACAACTTTTATCTTTAGCAGATTGGGGGGAGGAGGAAGAAAGCCCCCACTCCTGAACAAATCACCCCATGAATATGCAGCGCAGCGCTCATTGAGTCTGAAAGAGTCACGACCCCAGTCGTGGTTTCTTGACTTGCTTGTAGCTGTTGCTCTTTCATGCTCACTTTTACCGTATTGCTCCCCCAACAGGCAAAACTTTCTATTCACACACACACTGACGTCTTTTGCGCATTTCCTGCATTAGAGAGAGAGAGAGAGCGAGGCAAAGAGAGGTGGGGTGGTGCTGCTGCTCAGCCCAGCAGCACCGCGAGCCAGCAGCGCTAGCCATCCAGAAGGCGGTGGTCACCCTGTGCCTTTTTAAATCTCCAAAGAGCCTGATCCGGAGCAGACTCCCCTCATGCATTGGATTCGTTCCACTGGATCCTTGGCCTTTGAGGAGGAGGAGGAGGAGGAGAAGGCGAGGAGGCTCCTCGATCCTATGCGGATGTAAGGTCCCCGGGTGTGTGTTTTCTGAGCAGAGGCTGTGAAGTAGGCAGGGCTGGTTGTTTGGCTTGGTGTTTCGGGTTTGTGTGTGTGTTGCTGCTGCTGCCCACAGACAGTACTAGCGTGAGCAAGAGCCTCGGATCGCGGCTCTGCCTCCTTTGCAAAGACTGATCCAGGATTATGATCTAGGTGAAGGGAAAAGTCTGTTGCCCACCCCAAGGGTTTATTATGCTCGGATTTTGATTGCATTTTGGGGGGGTTTCTGCAAACACGGCCGTCCCCCCCTCCTTCCCTCCCTTCCTCCCTTGTTTTCCGTTAGAAACACAGGCACATTGTATGTATTTACGGGGTGTCGCAAGAGCAAAGGCTAAATAATCAAAGGTAGCAGCAGCAACAATAAGGGAGCCCCCACGTTGTGGTCCGTCCCCCCCCCCCCGCAGACCTGCTCTCCTATTTATTGGTGAGATCTCCCTGCCTCCCTCCCTGTGCGTGTGAGTGTGTGTGTGAGTGAGTGAGTGTGCTTAATCCCAGGAAAAGTGAAGCCATCCAACCATGGTGGTTTTTAATGGCTTGCTGAAAATCAAGATCTGCGAGGCGGTGAATCTGAAACCCACACCTTGGTCGCTGAGGCATGCGGTGGGTCCCAGACCACAGACCTTTTTGCTGGACCCTTACATCGCCCTCAACGTGGACGATTCCAGGATCGGGCAGACCTCGACCAAGCAAAAGACCAACAGCCCTGCCTGGAATGATGAGTTTGTCACTGACGTTTGCAATGGCAGGAAGATTGAGATGGCTGTTTTCCATGATGCCCCTATCGGGTACGATGATTTTGTGGCTAACTGCACTATACAGTTTGAGGACTTGCTGCAGAATGGGAGCCGCCACTTTGAGGACTGGGTAAGTGTTTGCACTGTAAATGCATATGGTTTTGTAAGGCACTGCTGGGGATGCAACACCTTCATTGCAGAGCTAGATTGCCAATGGCATGAAATGGCTCTGAAGCCTTTCCAGGCTTTATTATACTCAGCCAGGCAGTGTTACTGCATATCTCCCTTCTCTAAGATGTGTTTTACAATTTTTTTTGGGGAGAGGTGGAATCATTGAGTCTGGGTAAAAGGTGGATCCTACTGGATCCAGCCTCCGAAATGTCACTGCCTAAATGGGGAACAAGTGTAGTTGCTCCTATTGTACCAAAAAACAAAACAAAACAAACAAGATAGACCCCCAGTGCATCCAGGAGTAACAATGCAGCAAAAACCCAGATCCAGAAGCTAGATCTTGATGGAGCCAGAATGTGGCTCACACCTCCCAAATTCTAATGCTTAAATTGAGAACACTATAAATGCTCTTGTTGCACCAACAGAACCCAGACCATGATGGATCCTGGCATGAAAGCACCACCAAAATCCAGATCTGATACTTGAAACCAGACAATTTTTGATCCCAAACCCCCAACTTTACAGCATCAATAGGAAACAAACATAGATATTCTTCTGACACCAAAAATCTGGATCTTGATGCATTCCAATGCAATTGTACTGCAGGTACTTGGTAGCTAAATCCTGCCAATTTTTGGTCCTAGTCTGTGAAATTCCACTGCCTAACTAAGCCACATGTTTAGCTGCCCCTTAAATATCCAGATCTGATGTGCCCAAGCCCCACAGCGCTGCAAAATCTTGAATCCAGCATCCCAACATAATGTGGTTCAATTGCACTGCAAACAAAAAACCATTTGGAGATGTGCATTTCACAACTATATAAAACACAAATGTATCACTGAAACAGCAACAAAGTTGGCTATATGTATTGTAAATAATGTTAACAATAATGTTCACAAGAAAGCATTAGAAACAATCCTCTGATCTGGGATGTTCCATACATGACCAGCCATAATGTTGTGAAATGTGCACCTACTTGTTTATTTATTCTTGATCAAGAATCCAAATCTGGGCATTATTTGTTTAGCAGATGGAATAACATCAAAACACCAGAGCCTAGACTAGAAAATAGTTGGCAGATCATGGGCCTGATTCTAATTTACACGAAAGGGCATCTTTACATCGCAATGGCAGTGTAAAAGAGCCTTAAAGTGGATGTAAAGAGCTGTCAGTGTGAAGGAAAGGGGCCTTAGTGTAAATGACAATCAGGCCCTATTTATGCTGATTGACTAAGAACTGAATGAGGGCTGTATAATTTTTATTTTAATATTAAAATTAACCTTTATAGCTTTAAATGAGTCTATAAAGCCAAACATAACTTCTGCTAAATATGTTGCACCATGATGCTTGGGGTCTGTATTATTTTGGTGGGCTATCAGAGTTGCTTATTTACCAAGTTGAGAGGCTAATACTGGGTATTATGCAGCCAAAACTTAGCTCATTTGGAAAGGTTTTTGCAGCTATCTTGTATCTGAAACCAGCAATGAAATCCTGGTCCCACTGAAATCAATGGGAATATCAGACCAGGATTCATCTCACATTTTTTGGTGGAAGAGTAGACGCAAGACTTATTTTCTGTTTTCATGGTACAAATTCTGAGTTTGTGGCCCAAATTTGGCAGGACTTTGAATGATTCAGATGCCAAATATGAATTTTGGCAGTGCTATTGTGCTGGGCATATCAGGGTTCAGATTTTTAAGGTGCAATAGGAGCATCTAAACATGTTCTTTACGTAGGCAATGGAATTTAGCAGTTTGGGCCCCAAAACTGACAAGATCTGTCAGGATCCCGGTAGCGAATCCAGGAATTTGTGGTGCTATTGTACTGAGATGCATTGAGGTCCAGATTTTTTGGGAGTAAGAGTGTCTACATTTGTTTTCTATTGATGCAGTAGAATTGAGGGTAGGGTGGTCGTGGCCAAAAATTGGCTGATCCAGCAGAATCCAGGTGCTGAATGTGCATTTTTGCATAGCTCTCATGCCGTGATGTCTCATGGTCTGAATTTTATTGGTGCAGCAGGAGCAGATACACCTGTTCTCTATTTAAGTATTAGAATTTGAAGGGTGGGGCCAAATACTGGCAGGATCCAGCATTTGCCTTTTCCAAAATTATCTAATGAATCTTGCTTTACTGACTTTGATCAGCATAGGATAGAACATGGCATAATGCATAATTATTATTATACTGCATGTGATTATTTCATTTGTTAATAGGTAGGGACATCCAACAAACTTGCTTTTAGGACAATAAACTGTTTCTTCATCTGTTTTCACTGAGCTACTAGAGGCTTAGATTAATCCTATATCTAGTGCCATCTCTAAACAAAATAAAAATAAATAAAAACAACACATTCATTAACAACTTCAGCAGTATTTGAATATTAAAGCCTAGAAAAAAGAAATGTTCTATGAAATCAAATACATGAAGGTACCTTATGATTCTTACACTACAAGGAAAATGTACATGGCCTAAACCACCTTCAGTCAAACAAATATACTTGTGCATTGTAAGTATGCACTAATATATCTGGACCTTTAATCATGTTAGAGATGAGGTTCCTATGTTTAATAAGAGAAATAAATTCCTCACTTTAGGTCTGTAATTGAAGGCAGCTATTTTTTCTATTACTCTTGCTATTTTTCAGAAATTAAAGAACAGAAATTGGAGTAGCCAATTTCTCCTTAATGCCTGCAATATCTAATAAATATAGTCTAATGAACAGTCTTGGAAACTATGCTTAGCAGTTTTAAGGTCTGCTCATTAACACAGTAATCCTGGTAGTTACAACTGGTTAACAGGTACCTGCTGAGCATATTAAATTAAATCACATTGCTACCGTCTTTTACCTTACACAATCCAGTCTGATGCAATACTGCTTCCTACACTAGACCTTTACAATAAAATAAATTTGTCAAAATAATAATGTATTGATAACAGTTCTTGTCAACATATTAACAGCTCTCATGCATTCATGTGCATGATCTTATAATACATACAGTTCTAAACTGTATTTTTAAGAAAAATTTTTTTTTTTTTTTTTTAAATATCCATACTAGTTTTAAGGGGAAATTACTGACCTTGTAATTCTTATCAAAGTTCCAAAATGCAAAGTGGACATCGCTGTCCAATATGTATCTGAAAAGGAATACTGTGTTGTTTTCTAGGGGGAAAAAAATCTCTCCTTTATGTAGTCAGCTCACCTACTTTGGTTGATTTTGCTCATTATGCTATCCCTAATGTTTTTTTAAAAGATGAATTTTTCAGGAAGATGCTACATATTTTTCTCATTATTATGGTTGTGATGTAGACTGACACTATGGTTACAGTGGAAGCACTAACGTGATACACAAGTACAAATCTTAGTATCATGATAGCGACTTTTGCATTAGGAAGACTCCATTAAACACGCAACAAGCAATTTTCTTTTATCCCTAGGAATACTCAGCAGTCACAAAAATTAATTTGAAACATTATTTGCTGACCCAGTGCAGACTACCTGTACATGTGTACCTCATGGCACATTTTCAAAGTGGTGTCTTATTTCAACACAATTGTCTAGATACTAACAGATGGCAGATTTTTAAAGGATTAAATGCTATGTGTTTTTTTTTAAAAATGCTTGTGCATTTACGCAGATGCTTGTGTTGATTTCTGAAAACAGAACAGTGACAATTAAAAAGATGGCTGCTTTTTACAGCGATGCATCAATACAGACACAGCACAGTTAAAGTGTCAGTTTTGCAGATTTTACTTGTTAATGGCTACATTGCAGTTTTAAAGAGAGTCCTAGATTGTTAATATTACAAGCTTCTCTATAGCTGAATAAAGTACTAGGAATGGGGCAAAGGATACTCAGGAAGATGTTGAAAGCTTTACATTTGGGAAATATGGAGCAATAAGTTAGGAAATCGTGAGGAAAAAATTCTGTTAAAAATAACATGAAAGTATTAGTTAAGTGTGATTCAATTTAGGTGAAATGTCATTCATAATATTATAATAGACATGTCTTGATCTATTTTACCAAGGTTTATCATGTATGAAGTTTGTACTTTAATTTAGTAATATAGTCACATGTAAATTAGTAAGTTTTAAAGTGGGAAGAAAATTATTTTTATAACAAGGCTCATGACTGTAACTTTATGAACTAGAATTACTAGTGCTTATGTTCAGATTGCTAGTAGTCGAAACACTAAATATTAGCTTATCTGCCAGATATTTGGCTGGATCCTGAGTTGATGTAAATCAACATAGCTCTGTCGATGTCACTGGATCTATGCTGATTACACTAGCTAAGGATCTTGCCCAGTAGGCCCAACTCTTTGCATGAGAAAATCTCTTCTCGAAGTCACTGAAATTGGGCCCTCATGAGAAATTAATCCTTTTGCAGGCTGAGTAACTAGAATGCATGTGTTCAACCAGGACATCCCAACTTTTAAAAATGAAGACCTTCTATTTGCATCACAGAATATCATAAAGCTAGAGTTAGACTAGAATAATGTACTGGACTTCATTTTGTACTGGCTTAAGAACGCCCTGCACATTCAGGAAAAAAATATGTGGTGTGCCATACAAATATACATATCTATCTATCTATCTATCTATCTATCTATACACCCACCCACGTACACCCACACTTTCGTGAGCTTCTGTTTGGTTGTCATGTGCTTTTTTCCTTACTTCATTTCCCCATCATTGCTGATTCCCAAGATCTAAAAATGAAGCATACTCTTTTAAAATCGCCCTGCTTATTTACCTGATTTATTCAGTGATAGCAAAGTCAGTACTGGAAGCATCATATTTCCTTTAGTAAATGATGGTGATGACACTCATGTGACTGTGTGGCATCACTGCATAAAATAAGCTGATTATGAATTGAACAGAAACTGAATGCCTCGTCAATCAGCAATTATGAAAAATGGAATTTGGAAAAGTTTACCTAAATATAGTTTATGGTCCTGC